GCCCCGCCCACGACCGTGATTCCGCGCGGCGCTCGGGGCAGGTCTGCCGGCCGCTGCGGTTGGAGCTCGGTGCAGGGCCCGCCCCAGGGTGGCCGCTGCTCTGCTGGGGTGCCGGTGGCGTGGGGCGCAGGTGTGGTTGCAGTAGACGCGAAGTGCGGTGGAGAGACAGAGCGAAATGATTCCAGCTGTGCCCGGGTCATAGCCTGCAAATATCCCTTTCTGCAGTCTGTCTTTCTCTCCCACCTAGTTCAAAATCAGATTTGATGGGTGAAAACAAAAGATCCAGGCAGGGGATGTAGCTGAGTTGGTAGAGTACTTGATTAGTCAGCCCCGAGCCCTGGGTCCGATCTCCAGCCTTGTAAAATCACGCCTGCCTCTAAGCCCAACACTAAGGAGGTAGGGGAAGAAAAATCAGGTATTCAAGGTCGTCCTCAGCTACTTAGAGAATTCGAGGCCAGCTGGGCTACTGTCTCAAAATAAACCAAAACTAAAGTTCTAAGTTTCCTTCCTGTACCCAAGTGAAGCTGTGCTTCCCATCGGATCTGCTCGCTGTTGGTTTCCAAGGAGGGAGTGTGTGTCAAACTCTGTCATCAGCTGAGGAGGGCTCCTCTGGACTCTGCCTGAGGGTCCGTCCCAAACAGAATCAGGGAAGCCCTGGACTCCTCACAGGTCCTGCAATTCACCAGAACTGGACCACTTTCCCTTCTCTGGACCCTAGCTTCCCCTTTTGAGTAGTGGCAGATTTGTTCTTTAAAGGTTTATTGTTCCTTTGCCTGACAGCCTGAGGAAGCTTTAGACTTTGGTACTAAGAGCATTTCTATACTCATTCATAAATGCAGACCCAAGCTTCACATTTTTAATTAGCTTTAGGGGTGGGGTTGGAGAGGGTGCTGGGGAAGGACACCATGGGGCCTCTCTCTACCCTGCTTTGCTTATCTACTGAGTACAATGTGAAGGCTGCCCCTACCTCCTCTCATTTTCCAGAGGCACACTCTGGCTTTATTTAATGCAGGGGAATCACACCCAGGGCTTCGTGCATGCTAAGCAAACACTTTACCAACTGAGCACATCCCCAGCCCATTGCTGCATAATTTTTGTTTATTTTGAGTTTTGTACACCACTCCTTTTATTAGTGATAAAATTCATCTCTCTCCCCCTTCCCACACCGCTGCCCCAGCACCGATTTCTGAGGGTCTACTGAGACTAATGCTGAGAGAAATGAGTATCAGATCTGCACTAATGGGGCCACTCTGTTCCGTTGTGAGTGATGGCACAGAAAAAATAGCCCAAAACTATCCAATCTGACTCTGAGCTGTAGAAATCATTAGCGTTTTCAGCTGCTGTTACTCAGATGCAAGATGTGGGACAACTTGGAACCATCTCGTCATCTTAGCAAAGGGAAACTCTGAGACTTAGACTTCCTATTCCCCTTTGTATTAGTCCTTACAAATACATGGATGTGTATGTTCCTGCCAACACATGTAAGGGGTATGCTACACTCACTCCTAGTCTGAACCTTTGGAATTTACATGTCTTCTCCTAGGGTAACCCAGCCCCTCTTCTTTCTTATTCCCTGGCTGGTGATAGGGTGAGTGTGTTTTCCTCTGTCACATGTTCTTAGCATGGTTTGCTGCTCTGCCACGGGCTCAAGAACTACAGAGCCAATCACTTGCAGCCCAAAACTGAGGTGCAGAATCACCCTTTCCCTTTATGAATTTATTACCTTGGGTATTAGTTGTAGCCACAGAAAGCTGGCCAACTGCTAGTTTGTCAACTTGACACAAACTGAAGCCATCTGGGAACAGGGAACTTCAAGTGGGAAAATGCCTCCATCAGATTGAGCAAGTCTGTAGGGGAAATTCTTCTCGATTTATGTCTGATGTAGAATGTTCCAACCCACTGTGAATGGTGCCAACCCTGGGAAGGTGATCCTCTGTGGTACTAAAAGCAAACTCAGCAAATCATGTGTCTTAGGGGTTTATTTGCTGTGAAGAGACATCATGACCACAGCAACACATATAAAGGAAAGCATTTAATTGTGGCTGCCTTACAGTTTCAGAGACCCAGTCCCTGGCATCCATCTACGCCCCCTCCCCTGGGATATTTGGTTCAAAGCATCACCCCAACCCCTGGCCTGGGGTGATGCTTTGGACTGGACTCCACCTCCGGAAAAACCTGCCAAGCGCTGACCCCTCCCCAGGGAGGGTCAGGACCACTCCCACAGGTTATTTAGGCTTGCACCGGAAAAAGGAACACGTGGTCTTGGGTTTTGTATGCCCCCCCCCACTTCTCTTTCCCTTCTCCCGACCACCCGGGAGCACTGCATTTATTAAGCATGGGCATCTTTGATTCGGCCTAATCTGGTCTAATTGGAATTATTTGCGTCAGCGGAGAGGCTCCTCCAAGATGCCCACGTTTAATAAATGCAGTGCTCCTGCGTGACCAGGACAGAGTGGAGAGAGGGGGAGCCCACGCAAAACCCCAGAGACCACCTGCTTCTTTTGCTGCCGCAAGCCAAAATAACCTGTGGGAGTGGTCCTGACCCTCCCTGGGGAGGGGTCAGTGCTTGGTGGGCTTTTCCGGAGGTGGAGTCCAGACCAAAGCAACTCCCAGGCCAGGGGCTGGGGTGATGCTTCCAATCAGTTTGGTCCATCATCAGCATGGCAGGAAGCATGATGGTACACAGGAAGACATGGTGCTGGAGAAGGAGCTGAGAGTTCTACATCTTGATCCATGGCAACAGGAAGGGAGAGTAGTAACACTAGGCCTAGCCTGAGCATTTGAAACCACAAAGGACACCCCAGTGACACACTTTCTCAAGATCACACCTACTCCAACAAGGCCACACTTAAGTACCGCCACTCTCTAGTGACCAAGTATTCAAATCTATGAGCCTATGGGGGCCATTCCTATTCAAACCACCATAGGCTTCTTTCAGTAAAGTGTGAGAGAAGAAACAACTGAGCGATTGCTATTGTATGGAGTGTAAGTACACAGGAACATCCACACCCAGAAAGAGGAACTGGTAGCCATGGTCCATAAACACCCACGAGCACCTCTCCCAAAGGCCCAGCCTTGTGTTAGATAGTACCCTCAGTTCAAGACCTTGTCCCTTTCTTGATTCTCACTTAAAGTTAACTAGAATCCCTAGTGGATCGTCCAGATCACTAGAACTCAGCATAGAGAAGAGTCTTGAATGGTAAAACCATGATCTGGGTATTTGAATGATGTCATTTGAAGTCACAAGCACATTTTCGTAAGGATGACAGAAGTTGAAGTCATTTTCCTCTGAAGGTAATAACATCTGGGCTTGTGACGCTGCACAGATAGCATCACAGAAAGTCAAAGACTCTGGGAGTTCTGAGGTCAGCCAGGCCTGAACCAGTACTCCAGCTCGAGAAATTGTTCCCTATATGTCTCAACAAGAGTATGGTTCAGTAATGTATACTTGTATGGATTAAATGGCATGTAAAACTCAGCACATGCCTGTCATGCCATAAACTCTCCATAAATGGAAAACTATCACAGTTAGATGGTGCACTTACATAATTGACCGAAAATAGCAGTTTTGTTAAAAAATGGAGTCTGTAGAGTGAAACTATTTTGTTGATGAAAATGAACACATTCACTCCCTGTTCAAGGTGAGTCATCTCCAGACGCATAGTTTGTATTATAAAGTTTGCAAACTTAATAATACACACGTACAGCTTACATACTTACTGGAATAGGTAAATGCCTCTGTTGCTTCTTCCCTGAGCATTGACTGTGGCTTATTTGTAATGCGTGAATTAGTTCCTTTTCTGTTGCTGTGGTAAAACAGTGTGGCCAAGGCAACTTATAGAAGGAAGAGCTTATCTTGGCTTATGGTTTCCAAGGGATAAGAGTTCCATCATGGTGGAAGGCATTACAACAATCATCAGGCGTGGTGGAAAAAAGAGCCTGAGAGAGAGAGATCGCATCTCCATCTGCAAGCAGGAAGCAGAGAGCGAACAGGAAGAGACCCTAAGCACTCAAAGTCCACCCCCAGTGACATACTTCCTCCAGCAAGACTTCACCCACTAAAGACTCCACAAACTTCCTAAACAGTGCCACTGACTGAGGACCAAGTGTGCAAATGTGTGAGTCTCATTCAAACCACTACAAATATGGAGGGCAGAGGTCAGCATTAGGTATTTTCAAACACTTGCCACCTAGTTTAGAATTCTTTTCTTTTTTTTTTTTTTTTGAGTCAGGGTCTTTAACTGAACCTGAAGCTCACTGATTTGGCTGCCAGAGAACACCAAGAATTCACCTAACTCCATCTTCCCAGTGCTGAGGATCTATTTTTATTTTTTAGATTTACTTTACATGTATGAGTGTATTGTCTACACATGTGTATGTGCACTACATGCATGCAGTGCCTATGGAGGCCAGAAGAGGGTATCGGATCCTCTAGAGCTGGAGTTACAAAGATTGGGAGCCATTATTTGGGTGTTGGGGATTGAATTTAGATTATCTACAAGACCAACAAGTGCTCTTAACTACTGAGCTGTCTGTCCAGCTCCTATACCTGGCTTTTTATGAGTGTTGGGGATTCTCACTAGGGTCCCTATGCTGGGAAAGCAAGCACTTTACTAACTGGAGTTACAGTTGGCTACCATGTGGGTGCTGGAAACTGAACTTAGGTCTTCTACAAGAGTAACAGGCATTCTTAACTGCTGAGCCACCTCTCTTCCACCTCCCCTCCTCATCTCTCAAGACAAGATGGAGGTCAAGTATGGTAGTGCATGCTTGTAATTGCCTAAGAGCAACCTGGAACCCATAGTGAGACAGACGAGAGAGATTTAAAAATCATGAAATTGCTTTGGGAGATGATGTACAGCACACACATATTTCAATGTATTTTCTCTCCAATTTAAGCCTCTGTTTCTTTTTAGTTCTAAAGAAACAGAAGTCCGATGCCTGTTCACCAACCAAACTTGTATGAAAATCCAGCTATGAAGGACTAGAGATAAGAAGCCATATAAAACTGGTCAGCAATTCACTCTCTGACTTTCAAGAATCGAGAGTATATATTTTTTTCGATTCCACACAGCACAACTGTTTTAGACCTGCTGCTGAGCCCTATTGTGATTGGACGGGTTAAGATAGCGGTCTATTCAGGCTCTCATGCAGGTCTTATCTCTGAAACAGAGCATTGGCCCTGCCACGGTGTCATGCATAAGTTATGTTGCTGCTTGTTCTTGATACTCTCTATGACGTCAGGGGTGGAGTCAGTTAACGGAAGATGGGAGAGCCTGTAGTTTGGAGCTGTGTGCAAACCTAGGTGGGCTCCTGTGGCTGATTAAACCACCCATTTCTCAAGGGAGTGTGAAACTGTTTATCTCATTTGTGTGGAGAGTGGAGAGTCTTCCCACTAAGGTAAGGGAAAGTTCGTATTTTCTAGCCCCTTGTCAGCTCTCTGTGGATGACTATGTTCATGATGGCCTGTTAAAGATGTGTTTTAGGAGCTTTTCAGTTTAGATGCAATCATGACCCCCCCCTTTCTTGTCAAATCCTTTGTTTTCTGGACTAGTTTATTTTACAGTACATTCTGGTCCACTAAAGTGTTTCACTAATAGAGTTCATGGTGAAAATGTAATGTGGTTTATCCACCACTTTAAAAATGAGAACACCAGAGTTTCTAAAATGAAAAAAATTAAAAGCATAGTACTAGATACAACAACCTCTCCTTTTGGGTCATTGAGAAGGTATATCAAGATCCTGCATGTCCTGTCTCCACGTCTGTGAGTGGCCCATATTGTCCCCTGTAGCTATTCTAAAAGCAAGGTTCCCAGAGGGACAGGACACACAGACATGCCTGTCAATCCACCCTAACAAAATCAAAATGTTTTAAAACAAGCAAAGGTGTGTGTAAGGCTTGGCCTGGATCTTAAGAGTTTAAGCAATGTCTTCAGCTATTGGTCTCAGTCTTTAGACCCCTTGGCTACACTTTCAAAATGGCTTCGAGCACCTGTAGAACACATAGCATTGCATTCACGAGCATTGGGACCAGGGTCAAGCTGAATCGTCTGCCCTCCTGGAACCATCCTGTGTGGCCTATAGGCTCTCAACAGCTGTAGTTGGAAGACATGCGATCATCTAAAGACTACCTTTCAAGAAAGGTCGGGGGAGGGGGGGAGGGAGGAAGTGGGAGAGTTGGTGAGGAAGGAGCCAGGCAGGATGTGGCACAGCCACACACACAGCCGGGTGTGCCATGGTCTGGACTGGATGTACAGCCATGCAGTACAAACTGCAGGTAGATGTCTCTCTCCCGGAGGCAAAGGGACCATCCATTTCTATTCTTTCTCATGAAGTCACTGGCTATTCCCCAAAGAAAGTAGCTCGTTCATCAGATCCATTCTCTGGAAAGCAGGGATAAGTGACTTCAGCAGTCAGTGTCATACAGCTAGGTCAAGAGCACCAGAAGGGGTCAGCGTAGCAGCGTGACATCTTAGACTGCGCTTCTGGAACCAGTCTACACTGGATGTGTGCTTTCTGTGTTTTTAAATTCATTGTTCTTTCCATTCTCCCATCGCTCACATCCCTCTCCAGCTTTCACATCATACGCATGTTTACACTTGTGTTTAAATCTGGACTCTCGCTATAAAAACAGGCAGCATTTGTTTGACATAAAACTGTTGTATAGTGTCTGGAGACAGAGAGAGGGGAGAGAGAGAGAGAGCAGAGAGAGGGGGAAGAGAGAGGAGAGAGAAAGAGAGAGGAGAGGAGAGAGAGAACGCTGGTGTGCATATGTGCCTATGCTATGGTGCATTGAAGAACAACTTTTTGGACATCAGTTCTCTCTCTTTGTACTGGGGCAAGGTCGCTCTTGTTATTTCTGCTTCCCTGCCTGTTCCTGGGCTCCCGGTGATGCTTCTACCTCTGACTCTCATACCCCTGGAGGAATGGGATTACATATGCTCCAGTCTGCCAAATTTTCTGTGGGCACCAGACCTGGAACTCAGTGGTCAGGCTGTGCAGCAAGAGTTTTTACCCACAGAACCATCGTGCTGGCTTTCCCATGAATATTTTTGACACTTTTGTCAAAAGTTAGTGGCTGCAGCTCTGAGAGCTTTCAATGTCTTTTATTCTGTGGCATTGGCCTACATGTCTGTTTTTGTGCTAGGGCCATGCTGTTTGCGTTACCATGGTGCTGTGGTCCAGGCTGAGATCGGGTCTTATGATAACTCCAGCATCGCTCTTTCTGCTTAGAGTTCCTTTTGCTATTTGGGGTCTTTGGGGTGTCCCTGTTATCTTTCTGACTACTTTTTTCTAGTTCTATGAAGAATGCCATTGGGATTTTGATGGAGATTGTATTGGTAGGATAGCCATTTCACAACATCAATTTTTCCAGGAATATGATGGTTTTTTCCATCTTCTGGTGTATTCTTCAATTTCTTTCACCCTATCCCCTCTCTCTGGGTATGTACATGTGTTCTCAGGTATGCATATGTGCAGGTGGTAGCCAGAGGATGACTAATGTCAGGTGCCTTCCTCAGTCATTCACCACCTTATTTTATTTTATTTTTAAGATTTCTGTATTGTCATTTTAGGTGTATAAGTGTTTGCCCTGCATGTGTATAAGTGCACAGCATCATGCGTGCTATCCCCAAAGGCTAAAAGATGCCCTGGAACTGGAGTTTAGATGGTTGGAAGAACAGCCAGCGTGCTGAGCCATTGGTCCACGTAGCAGAATTTCCTGTTGGCCTGCCATCAGAGTTAGCAACTTACCCTCACCCCCACTGGACCACACCCAGCCTAGTCCTGGAGTTAGCACCCAGCCCTAATCCATCCTTTGTGTTACAGATACCTTTTGTTGCCCTATGTGAATCTCATCTGAGAGTTTCCCAAGGATACAAAACCTATGCAAAACTTGGTTAAGGGGCAACATCAGTGCCTCCTGAATCAGGTATTTGCTCTTGGCATTGTATTTTTGGAAGCTTCTTTCAGGTTGTTTTGAGCTTATGGAAATCAACTGGCAAAAGTGTAAATATAGGAAAAAAGTGAAAATGCCCTGGGTGAAGGGAAAGTGCTTCAGTCCACGAAGGCTGGGGACCTCTGTGGCCACCAAAGGCTAAGTTTATTCTCCAGTGTCTCTGAGTCTTCATTTCACGGACTTGCGTGAACCCCCAGCCGCGTGGCAACACCCGCAACAGATCCATCTCTCCAGACTCTCTGTCTTTTCCAGTACAAACTGGTTGACATAGGTTTCTTTTCATCATTACTTTATTTTACCAGTGCGGGTGTTTTGCCTGCATGTATGTCTATGTGTCACATTCATGCAGCACATGCAGAGTCCAGAACATGGATCATGACAGGTGTGAGGCTCCATATGGGTGCTGGGAACCAAACCCTGGTCCTCTGGAAGAGCAGCCAGTGCTCTTAACCATCACAGTATCTCTCCAGCCCCTGACACAGGTTTCTTAATAGCCACCCTCCAAAATAATAAATCAGAGGTGGGGGGAGGTGAGTGTGCACAGGAGGTGCTCAGGAGGTGCAGGTGAAGCTTGTGTACAGCTGTCTGGGAATAGCACGAGCTTCTTAACTGTCAAAGCCCACCCCCAGTGACACAGCTCCTCCAACAAGGCCACACCTTGTAATTCTTCCCAAACAGCTCCACCAAGTCTTCAAATGTATGAACCTGTGGGTGTCGTTCAAATCACCACAGCAACATTCTTTTGTTTTCTTCACCTATATAGCATCCTAAGATTCTTTTAAATTTTATTTATTTGTGTGTGTGCACATGCCCACTTGTGCACACATGTGTGCACACACATGTATGTGCCTGCTGCTAGGAGAAGAGTGTGTCAGATCCCCTTGATCTAGACTTATAAGTGATTGTGAGCGGCCTGATGTGGTTTCTCGGAGCTGAATTTAGACCCCCTGTAAGAGCAAGAAGTTCTTTGAACCATTGAACCATCTGCAACCTGAATCCTCTTCTTTTAATCTTCATTTGGGGGAATATTTTGAATGAGAGAATAAGCTCGAACAAGTTATAGAATCCCTGTAGCAAGTCTTTTCTTTTGGACTACCAACCAGCTCCCAAATCATGACATGGAGATTTCACTATTAGTTATGAATGCTCGGCCTTATCTTAGCTCTTGTTTTAACCTGGTTCTCTTAATCTGCGTTTGCTCAGGGCTTTTTACCTTTCTGTCTTAATGTCTGCTGGAGGCGGGTAGTGGGGATGCCTGACTGATCCCAGGCATTTCCCTTGTTCTCTCCTCCCTTCTTCTCTCATTCTTTCTTAGGCTAAATTTCTCCTCCTATTTATTCTGTCAGCTCTCCATTCCTGCCTGTTCCTCTCCTGCCTAGCTATTGACTATTTTGCTTTTTATTAGACCATTCAGGTGCCTTAGGCAGACAAGGCGAGACAAATGCAGCACACATCTTTTCATAATTAAAATGTAGCATAACCAAATGTAACACATCTTTACATCACTCAAGAAGGCAGTAGAAACAAATGTAACACACCTTCGCACAGTTAAAGAAATATTCTGTAGTAAAATAAATGTAACACATCTCTGTCCAGTTCAAATAATATCCCACAACAAATCCTAGCATTGGATTGCCATTAACCAGTTCTTAAACTGTGCCTATTTTGTGGTTGGTGAGTTTACTTTTCACTCTGTTGTCTTCTTCAGGACCCGACTTATTATGTCCCCATCCTTCATATGTTCTGCTATTGTGTATGTGTAAGGTCTTTAGCATAAATCCTAAATATCCCTTTACTATTTTATAAATGTTTCCGTGTGTGTGTGTGTGTGTGTGTGTGTGTAAGACTAGGTGAGCACTGAATCAAGAGAAATATTTCCATGTCGACAGACGTGAACTGGTGGTGTCCTCGTTTCTGTTCACAGACTCAGGAAGATGGACTCTTTCCTCTGGGATGACTTTGGGCCCAGGATACAGAACAGGGCCATGGAGCAGATCATCACACCCATGACGGTCCGGCTTTGTCAGCTGCTCATCTCGGTGGAGAGGAAAGAGGTACAGAGAGAAGCACTTGCCTCCTTGCAGAAGGTGGCAGAGGAACTGGCCAATGCAAGTGAGGCATTTGTGCATGCTGCCAGCAGGTAATATCTCCAAGGGACTTAAGCCCCTTGCCCTGACGGCCTGGCAGACGATGGAGAATATAAATAGAACCCAGTTATAGTCTTCAACGCTTTGGGGGCTGGTAGATGTAGCTCAGTACCTAGCATATAAGAAACTCTGGGTTTCATCCCCAGCACTGCTTAAGCTGGATATGGTGGTGTGCACCTATAATCAATCAAAGAACCCAGGAGGTGGAACATGGAGGGCCAGAAGTTTAAAGCTTTTCTTGGCTACTGTCTTACTCACTATTCTACAGCTGTGAAGAGATACCATGACCAAGATAACCCTTTTCTTAATTAATTTTTTAAAATTAACTTTTCTCATTTTACATACCAATCCCAGTTTCCACTCCCCCCTTCCTCCCGCTCCCCTCACCTTCCCTGAACCCCACCGCTATCCACTCCTCAGAAGGGGTAAGTCCTCCCATGGGGAGTCAACAAAGTCTGACACATCACTTTAAGGCAGGACCAAGGCCCTACCCACTATATGTAGGCTGAGTAAGGTATCACTCCAAACAGAATGCGTTGATAGAAGTTTCTGTCCTGCCCAGTCCTGCAGCTGTTCAGTCCCAAAGAAACACACAGAGGTCTGCATTAATCATAAACTGATTGACCTATTAGCTCAGGCTTCTTATTAATTCTTACATCCTACATTAACCCATAATTCTTGTCTTTGTCAGCCACGTGGCTTGGTATCTTTTATCAGAGAGGCATTCCCATCTTGCTTCCTCTGCTTCTGGGTCACGACTGCAGACTGTGACTCTCCTCTTCCCAGAATTCTCCTGTTCTCGTCGCCCTACCTATACTTCCTGCCTGGCTACTGGCCAATCAATGTTTTATTAAAGCGATACAACTGACAAATCTTTACAGGGTACAAGATCATTGTCCCACAGCAAGAATGGAATCCAAAAGCCATTTCAAGCTCTAGGGATAAATCCTGGACCCATTCCCAGGGGCCCCATAGACTTCCCAAGCCACACAACTGTCACCCACATTCAGAGGACATAGTTTGGTACTAGGCAGGTTCCTCTGCTGTCAGTCCAGAGTCAGTGAGATCCCACAAGCTCAAGTCAGGTGTTTCTGTGGGTTTCTCCATTATGGTCTTGACCCCTTTGCTCATATTATTATTGCTCATCCCTCTCTTCAACTGATCTCAGGAAGTTCAGCCCACTGCTTAGCTGTGGATCTCTGCATCTGTTTCCATCAGTTGCTGGATAAAGTTTCTATGATGACAATTAAGGTCGTCATCAATCTGATTACAGGACAAGGCCAGTTTAGGTACCTTCTCCACTGTTGCTTAGGGTCTTAGCTGGGGTCATCCTTGTGGATTCCTGGGAATTTCCCTGGTGCCAGGTTTCATGCTAGCTCCACAATGGCTCCCACAACCCATAACCAAGATAACTCTCATATGAGAAATCATTTAATTGTGGGCACTCTTACAGTTTCAGAAGTTCAGTCCATTATCATCATGACAGGGAATGTAGCAGCATACAGGCAGCCATGGAGAAGTAGCTGAGAGTTTTGCATCCTGATCCATATGGAGAGGGAGACTGGGCTTGGAATGGGCTCTTTGAGACAAACCCATTAACTCCTAATTCTTCCAAGCCTTTTGAATAGTACTACTCTCTAGTGACAGAGCTTTCAAACGCATCTGGGGGCCATTCTTGTGTATACAGTGTTCTGTCTGCATGCATGCCCGCAGGCCAGAATAGGGCACCAGATTTCATTGATGGTTGTGAACCACCACATGGTTGGTGGGAATTGAACTCAGGACCTTTTGAAGGGTAGGCAGTGCTCTTAATCACTGAGCCATCTTTCCAGCCCATGGGGGGTCATTCTTATTCAAACCACCACAGCTACATAGTCAGTTTGAATCCAGACTGAGCTACATGAGACCCTGCTTCAAAATAAATAAATAAATTAGTATAAGAATGGATACAGATTGTTTTAGTTTGCTTCTCTGTTGTTGTAACAAAACACTGACCAACAACAATTTGGTGGAGGAAAGGGTCTACTTGGCTTAACTTCATCATCAAGGGGGAAACTCAAGGAAGGAACTTGGAGGCAGGAACTACAGAAAAAGCCCGGGAGTGGCACTGCTTGTTGGGCTGCTCCTTTGACTGCTCAGCTACATTTCTTGGCTAGCCCGGGCCCACCTGCCCACGAGTGGCACCGCCCACAGTAGGCTGGGCCCAACCGTGTCAATTATCAATAAAGAAAATGCCCCCCAGAGGCATGTCTACAGGTCAATCTGATGAAGGCAATTCTTCAGCCCAGGTCCCTCTTCCTAGATGTGCAAAGCTGACGACCAAAATTAGCCCTCACAGCTATGGAGTTGGGGCCAGGCCTAAAGATCATGTGACTCTAGGAAGGTAAAAAGGAAAACTACAGTGAGAAATAACGCGAAATATTTGTTATAAATTATGTACAGGAGCTGGAGAGATGGCGGAGCACTGAAGAGTTCTTGCTGCTCAATCCTGAACTTAAGTTCAGATCTCAGAACCCATGTCATAACATTCATAAACATACATAAAATAAATTATGTAGGAATTTAGTGACAGTAATTTTATACCAACTTAATACTTCTTTGTAGATTTTAAATTCCTGACAATGCATTTTTTAATCACAAAAGGTACAGTCAGTTTTGAGAGAGGCTAAATATTGTTTGTGTTCACTGCAGGATAAATGCCTTTGCTTCATTGTCTGTTCCTGGCAAGATAAATTATTTATACAGACAATTATCAGTGTTCATGACCATGGGAAACGGTCCAGCCCTCTTTATCCGAGCAGAACTGTAATAATAAACATTTGGACTTGAGTTTGGCTCCACCATCCCTGAGCAGTTCCCAGAGAAGGCTAAACGCAGGCCAGCAGCACACCCCACTAAGTGTTGTCGGGCTGGCAAGCTCCTGCCTTCCTTTGCTGGGCAGGCTCTCAGGGGGCCAGAACCTGCCTCATCAGCTGCTGTCCATCAGCCAGCGTGTGCCCCTGCCTCATCAGCTGCTGTCCATCAGCCAGTGTGTGCCAGTGAGAAGAGGCCGGCTCAGGGATATGTTTCCTCTTGCTTAGAAACACATCTTATGGTGAACATTTAAGAAATACGAATGAGAAAAAGAAAGAAAATAATACTGCCCACAAGCCTGCAGCCTAGAGAGAGCCACCTGGAGGATTCGAGTATACACTTACCCCAGATGTTTTTCTTCTCTTTCTAATTTTTCCCTCCCCATCACTCCACTTTCAGTTTTTTAAAACTCATATAAAACTATCCCTGTTAGGTCTGGAGAGATGACTCAGCAGTTAAGAGGGAGTTCTGCTCTTGCAAAGGACTGAGTTTGTTTTCCAGCACCCATGTCAGGTGATTCACAATCACCCTTAACTCTAGTTCCAGTGAATCCAATACCTTAGTCTTTCTATAGGAACCTGCACCCACTTACACACACACACACATACACACACGTATGTATGTATGTATGCATGTATGTATAAATTACATATTATTTAAAGACTTAAAATTTAAAGATTTATTATATACATATAATTATACACACACACACACATAGTATATATATATATATACTAATGAAGAAAATATGATGCAAGGACAGAGAGGGCCTGAGGAAACAAGAACCCCCGGGAGCAGAAGTCAGGGCAAATCCAGCCCTGGGAGCGAACCCAGTCCCAGAACACTGGCAGATTAGGATTGAGCTAGTGACCAGATCCAGAGTCGGCGATCTCCACCAGAACAAGTCCAGCTCCAAGCCAGGGGTGTAGTTGGGGTGAATCTGGGAGGAATATGGTGAAAATGACCCAAACACATCACAGGCATGTATGAAGTTCTCAAAGAATTAATTAAATACTATTTTTTGAAAGAAGTTGCCAGCATATGTCACATTGTGTACAGCAGCACACGAACCCAGTTCTCACACACATTCCTCAGCCCCTGAAATAGTCAGAACTTTTTGTTTTGTTTTATAAGACAGGGTTTCTCTGCGCAGCCCTGGCTGTCCTGGAACTTGCTCTGTAGACCAGGCTGGCCTTGAACTCACAGAGATCTGCCTGCCTCTATCTTCCTAGTACTGGGATTAAAGGTGTGTGCCATCATTGTCCGGCTAATAATCACAATTTTTAATTTAACTATTTTAGTAAATATTTTACTGTGATTTTAACTTTAATTCCCATGAAATAATGCCTTAAAACATTTTTATTCAAGCCTGGCGGTGGTGGTGCACGCATTTAATCCCAGCACTTGGGAGGCAGAGGCTGGTAGATCTCTGCGAGTTCGAGATCAACCTGGTGTATAAGAGCTAGTTTTAGGACGGGCTCTAAAGCTACAAAACCAAAAAAAAATATTCATTTAAAGATTTTAAAGTTTTTATTATTTTTAGTTATATGTGAGGTTTTGTGCATTTCAGTACTAGTCTCCACAGAGGCTGAAAACAGTGTTGGATTCCCTGGAAATGGAGTTACGGGCGGTTACTGCGCCTGACATGTGTGCTGGGAATTGCACTTGAACTTGGGTTCTCTGCAAGCACAGGATATACAACATTTACCCCAGTTTTGACCCCTCCCCCAAATGGAAATTACTAAGCACATTCTTAAGTTCACAAAGGCATGCAAAGGCCCTACAGTAAACATCTTTTTTAAAAAAGGAAAATTGTGGAGGTTGTATACCATGTGATTTCAAGACCCATCATAGCTGGGTGGTGGTGGTTTATTCTTCCAATCTAAGAACAGGGAATTTGCCTGGTGGTGGTGGTGGAGGGTGGCGCACGCCTTTAATCCCAGCACTCAGAGGCGGGTGAATCTCTGTGAGTTCAAGGTCAGCCTGATCTACAAAGTGAGTTCCGGGACAGCCAGGGCTCTATTATGCAGATAAACTATGTCTTGAAAAATTAAATCAAAAGAAGAACAAGAGATTCAGAAACACACATATAGGTGTGCACACCAGTTCAAAGGACACAGAGAGAGCTGGGACACTTAGCTATTTGTGTGCAAAAGTAAATGTGGAACTGTATAAAAAGATCAGCTCAAATCCATCAAATGTCTAACTGTAGCTCTTAAACTTATAAATGATTCATAAAGAAACAGTCTTTGATCCGAGCCTTTGAGATCTTGGGTTAAGTACAGATTTCCAGATGTAAAACTGGAAGCTTGACTCATGAAAGGACCAAATAAGCTTCTCTTTGGAGATCAGGAAATACTTTTTAATGGAGGTGTGTTGACAGTTGTCTACAGCGCTGAAAGTGCATCGGAACTGATAGGAATTACAGAATCGTAGCTCCTTTCAGGTTTAACATCATGGACGATATAAAATAAATGCACTTATACAAATGCACAATTGCTGCTGCACGCAGTATGGTCTACTTCACAACAATGTATAATTAGTTGCTTTATAGATGTATCCATAGATACAGACGTGGTTTTATTGTTTGTTACTATTATTTATCTTTTCAACTACTGGATTGTTATAAACATTTTACACTTCTTACACCTTTATGATCTCTACGCATAATGCTACCACACAACCTTTTTGCTCAGGCAGTATAAACAGAGATGCTCTTGAATCACCCAAGTGCAATCGCCAAGACCCATTGTTTGATCAATAAGAAATAGGGGCTGGTGAGATGGCTCAGCAGAAGGAAGCACTTGTTAAACATGACGTCATAGCTAAGATTCCAGATGCTGTGTAAAAGCACCATAACCTAAAGCAGACCTGGGAGGGGAAGGGTTATTTGTCTCAAGGATACAGCCCTTCATCAGAGAGAGCCGAAGCAGGAGCAGAAGCAGGAACCATGGAGGAATGCTTCTTACGTGCTTGCTCCCCATACATTGCTCATCCTGCTTTCTTACACAAGCCAGGACCACCTGCCCAGGAGTGGCACTGCCTGCAGTGAGCTGTGCCCTCCCACAACCAGTATTAATCAAGAACATACCCCACAGGCTCGCGTACAGGCCAATCTGATGGGAGGCACTTTCACAATTCTGTTTCCCTCTTCCTAGTTGATTCTAGCTTGTGTCAGGTTGACATAAATTAGGCAGCACACCCAATGAGTTCAATCCCAGGGCCCGCATGGAGGGAGATACAAGGGTCATGGCAGAGGCACAGCATCATGTTGCCTTAACTAAAAACAAGCCAGTCTTAGTGTTCTATTGCTGTGAAGAGACACCATGACCAAGGCAACTCTTATAAAGGAAAGCATTTAGAGTTTAGGAGTCCATTATTATTAAGGCAGGGAGCATGGCAGCTCACAGGGAGCACAGGGAGCACACAGGAAGCATGACAGCTCACAGGGAGCACAGGGAGCACACAGGGAGCATGGCAGCACACAGGGAGCATGGTAGCACACAGGGAGCATGGCAGCCCAGGGAGCATGGCAGCACACAGGGAGCACACAGGGAACATGGAGCACACAGGGAGCACACAGGGAGCATGGAGCACACAGGGAGCACACAGGGAGCATGGAGCACACAGGGAGCACACAAGGAGCATAGCACTGGAGAAGCAGCGGAGAGCTTTGCATTCTGATCCTCAGGCAGCTGGCAGAGAAAGAGAAAACACTCTCAGCCTGGCACGGGCTTTAGAAACTTCAAAGCCCACTCCCAGTGACACACTTTCTCCAACAAGGCCACACCCACTCCAGGAAGGCCACACCTCTTAATCTTTACCATGCCCTGGTGACTAAACATTTCAATATATGAACCTATGGCAACCAGTCTCATTCAAACCACCGCAAAGCCTAAAAGAAGAAAACCAAAAAATGGAAGCCTTGTGTAAAACATACACCTTGGACTCTTGTCAACACGTTGCATTGAATATCAATGGTCTTGCTCACATTTCTCAGTGGTGGTTTAGTCTTTACCATAAGCACACGCAGCAATTAGAGCTACACTTCTTTTTATTGTAATAATTAATTAATTAATTAACTTTTTCCCCCTTGAGACAGGGTTTCTCTGTAGCTTTGGAACCTGTCCTGGAACTTGTTCTGTAGACCAGGCTGGCCTCGAACACCCAGAGATCCGCCTGCCTCTGCCTCTGAAGTGCTGGAATCAAAGGCATGCACCACCACCTGGCAAAATTATTATTTTTCTGTTATGAAATGCTTGTCTCCTGTCTTGTCCAGGGTCAGTTAAACTGAAAACCACACATTGTGCTCCATTTTTTAAGCAATGTCCATTTCACATGGCCACTTGGTAGCTCTGATTTCTGATCCTAAGTACTTTGGTGGCACAGTGAAAATAGTGTTCATATTTCTGTGTATAGTATAGCTGAATAATAGCCACTTACAGATAGGTTGATCCCCAAAGGAAAGGGACTGGTGTATGACACACAGTATCAAAACTTGCATCTAAGCACCCTCCAGAAGCCACATTTGATCTTCGAGAAAAGTCTGGAATATGTTTTACCACTGGCGATCACTAACTCTTGGGATGCTTAAAATGAAGAGCGATCTCAAGTGTTGATGAGAACGTGTGAGAACTTGAACTCTCTTTTTGCTGATTAGAACATAGTACGTTGCAACTACTTTAGAAAATATTCTCTAAAAGTTAAACATATACCCATTGTTACTAGGCATTTATCCAAGAGAAACGGCCTCCTGTGTCCACACGAAGACCAAGGCATGCATAGCCACAGCAGCGTTCTTTCTTTTTAGTTCTGTGTCCCCAGTACTGGGGATTGAACTCAGAACCTGGCACCTCTACATGAATGCTGCATTACCGAGTTAGATCACCAGCCTTTTTATTGCAAGCTTCGAAACAAGTTTCCAGTAAGTTGCCCAGGCTGGCCACAAACTCACTATGTGGTCTATGGGCGCTGTGAGCTTGTGATCCTCCTGCCTCTGCCTCCCAAATAGCTGGGGTTATAGGTGCACACCACGGTGCCAAGCTTGGGGGCTTTATCTTATTTTAATAGCTAAGATAGAGTGGTCTCAGGTTTCTTACCTGAAACTCTGGAAGACAGAAGATGACGGATCAATTGTATACAGGCTGTTGAGAAGAAAAGCCTGAGACTCAGAATTCTCTACCCAGATTGCCTGTCATTAACCTGTTTAACCTTACCGTATGAAGTTTGTTAAGGCTGAGACTGAGGTAACAACTCTAATTCATAACTTTTCTTCAGGATGAAGAAAGGATGAAGAGAGGTCTTTTCTTTCTTTCTTTTTTTAAATTCAACATGTGTCTTGGCTCATAAGCACAGTCGTCAAAGTTCACTTTAATGGCCACCTGGTGCTCTGTACCTTCTGTGTAACCTCATTTCCATGTGACTCTTTGGGTTTAACGTGATAACATTCTAAGTGCAATGTGTCCATTCAGGCTGGCCGGAGACTCCGAGGACGAGTGGTTTAGGGAGGAAATGAAGCCAGTGGCGGAGTCTCTGATCCTCTCTGGGAGGAACATCCTGCTGGTAACCCAGGAGCTCCCCGTGCAGCCGGAGTGTCAGCGCCACTGGGAGGAGCTAGTGGCCACAACTCAGCAGATCCTGGTGAACACTACCAAGGTGAGGCTCCCTCAGAGCTGACTGGCAGCTTGGTCATTGCTGGAGAGCACGCATGGCCATGCAGTTCTCACAGGACCGCCTGGCCGTCCCTTAATTCGAAACCTGCCCAAGTGCTTGCCAAGATCCTCGACAGAGTTCATTGCCGATTTAGTCAGGGCTAAAATTGAAGCTGTAACAGGAGCTGGTAGAACCCCTCAGTTTCCAAACACACTCAGTTTTTTCATCCTGACCCACATTCCTTTCTAAATACAACTTAAATTTATTTTGGAGAATTTATGTATTTTTATTTTATGTCTGTGAGTGTTTTCCTGAATGTGTAGCTATGCACCACGTCTGTAAACCGACTGAGGAAGAGGCGGGCAAAGGAGGGTCTAGGAAATTCTAGTGTTGAAATTACAGACAGTTGTGCGCCCCCTTGTGGATGCTGGGAATCAAAGCTAGGTCCTTTGGTAGCGCAGTCGGTAAACGTAACTGCTGACCCATCTATCTCTCCAGCCCGTTTACAACTTTTACATTGGGATATTGCCCCTGGTTCAAATACATATCGCCAAAATATTTTGTTGTTGTTCATTGTATAACATCTGTAGTGTGGTTTATTGGAGATATTGCAGTGGGGTAGAGGAGGGTGAGAGGCAGAACCGGAGGGGTTTGGGAACCTGCTGGAGGTGAATGAAAGGGAGAGAAAGGCTTTTGATTTGGGTACCAGCCCCAGGGTTAGGGAGTGGATGGAGCTGTCTGCGAGAGGCGAGTCAGGCTAAGAAAAGCTGCCTCAGGGAAATGCTCCAGCCCATCCTTCTCATCTAAATAATAATCCGTCTTTGAACAGTCCCGGGTAAACCCTACACCCGAGAAGGCAGCCAGTTCAGACCTCTGGTTTACAAAGAAATGCGCACATCCGCAAACCCGCATTCTCCAGGTCCGGTCACCTAGACGGTGCCTGTGTTTGGTTACATTCAGGTTAAGTGACAATGTAAGGTCTCCTAGGCTTAAGCCACATGGCCCCAAGAATGTTCAGTCATCTTCAAGTCTCTTTCCTGTGACCGCCCCAGCAGGTCTTACTGCTTGAAGACGCAGCAATGGCGAGGAAGACGGTGCCAGCGGCTGGTTGGTGTCTGGCGTGCCTGGAGGCTCTGGAGGCGGCGGAGGACTCCACCTCGCTGCGCACCTCGCTGTCTGACCTGGCGGCTGCGCTGCAGCGACTGGGCGGCCTGACAACGCGCTGGGCCCGGGACGAGCGCCTGGGTCGAGTTCGCCACCGGCTAGGGTGCTGCATCCCAGCGCTGCTCGCAACCGCCCGCGGCCACCTCCGGCACCCACAGGAGCCGCAGCTGGTGGCTTCACGGCGCCGCGTCTTTGCCCTGACCAGGCAGAGCCTCAGGGAGCTCCTGGCTGTACTGCAGCCCGGCATCGCAGGGCCTGGTGCGCGCTCTCAGAATGGCGCATTGGCACATCGTCTGCAGAAGCTGCGACAGGTTCTGGAGGAGCCCGGGCCGAGTCACTTGCGTGTCGGGTTGCTGGATGCGCCAATGGTCGCCGTGGTGTGGCACTGCCTGCACCTAGCCGCCTGCTCCGCACCAAGGGAGAGGATGCACCTAGTGTCCCATTGCCGCCAGCTGCTACAGCTCCACCCTGGGCTGCACCGGTCTCCCCAGATCAGCCCAGGGACAGAATGCGAAGCTGTGCGGGCCGCGACTGATGCGCTCTTTCGGGGAGTCCGTGCTGGATTACTGAGCCAGATTCTGGACACGTTCACAGATACCCAAAGTCCTCTAGAGAGGCTGGTCCAGGCCGCCTTGGCGACTTCCACCATCAGGTCCCAGTGCAATAGCGAAGCCTTGGCAGAGACTTTGCGACTTCTCCTTGATGCTTTTCACAACCAAGCCAAGCAAATGATCCGAGTGGCACACTTGGTTTGGGTCTGCTGCCCCCAACAGCAAACCGGCAGAGACCTGGAGGCTGCCGTGGCAGGTCTTTGGGGGCTTGTGGTCAAAGCGATGGGACTCTTTTCACAAAGTCCCCAAACGCAAGGCCTGGACTGGAGCCCTGACATCCTGCAGGCTCTGCTTGAGGCCTGGGCCAGGGAATCCGAACACCTCTTGGCATGCTTTGATGTCGTTCTCGATATTCCTGAATTCCTGAGTTTGTCCATCCAGGAAATGACTAAACACTTGGACATGTACACAAGGGCTCTGAGGAGCGGCGCACCCAGAGAGTTTTCCAGACCTGTGGCGTTCTTACGCGGAAGAGCCACACACATAGTGCAGGTGATGAGCAGGTACGTGGGTCAAGACCCAGATCCCATTTTTCGAAACGGGATGAGAGTCGTGGTTCAGCAGCTGGCGCAGTCTTCCTTGACGCTGGCTGCAGCCACTGAAGGCAGCACAGGCGGGGACAGTGCCCAGGACACAGGTGCCTTTTTAACTATGGCAAAACACCTCATCTATTCGGCTCAGCAAGTCCACCAGGGGCTGGATGGGACCAATCACCCAGACATCCTCAGCCCGCTTCGATTCCAAGTCCAAAGGTTTGACCTTGCCAAGAGATGGCCTTATGTGGGTCTCCCCAGCCTCCAGCATTCTACAGCTCCCGCGCTGAAATACCAGCAGGTGCCTGGGTTAGGGAGAAATGACACGAACACCGCTTTCCTACCACTAGAACAACTTTCCTACACAGTGGTCCCTGACACCTGCAAACAGGGGTGGGGCTCTCCATTCCTTGCTGTCAGCAAAGTCATCACTACCGTGGAGAACCAGGAGCACCTGGTAGTAACCTCACCACGCACCAACATGCCAGAGCCAGAACGCACTGTGAATATAGCCCCAGAAATCCAGGCTGGGGAAGAACCCCTGGGACCAGAGAGGATGTCAAGACTATATAAATTCTCAAGAGTGGTACCTTCGGTTACTGACCTAGTCAGGGAGGAAGTCCATAGCACAAGCATTAGAAGTGACAGACTTCTGGAAGTGGCTTTTCAGCAGTCTGGGAGGACCAGGGAAGCCAGGCAGGCTTTGGTAGCCAGGGCTGGTGACTGGTACCCTCTGTGTCGACAACTCTTTTGCCGTAGCCCAACCACAGAATTACCGGGGAGCATGGAAGTGTTTGTGGAACTTCAGCAGAATTTGGCCTCAATGGTTCAAGTAGCAGCCAAAAGTGGTTCTGTGCATTTGGACGAGAAGAGCCCAATGAAGGACCTGGGAATGATTTTAGAGCTGCAAGGTAGACTGGAAAAAACAGAGGTCCATGCTAAACAGCTATTAGACCAAGTTCTGTCCTCTGATGATCGCCAAGCCTCCAAGTTGAGGGACGAGAACGTTGACAATGAAAGCCTTCTGTGGGCGGTGGCTGTGCAGGACCTGATGCAGTGCATGGGGAGGCTCAGCAGGAGACAGGGCCTGTTCCTACTGCCCCTGCAGCAAGCAGTGAAGAGCCAGCAAGGGTTGCAGGAAGGGTTAGAGCAGGCAGCACATGTTTCCCAAAGGTTACGAGAGGCTGCTGAGCTGTCTCGTGTTCTGTGTGGTGATGAGCAGGTAAAAGATGAGGTCTCTTTTCTGTGTCGAGAAGTTCATGTACTCACAGATGCCTTGTTGGAGGTGGCACACGTTTTGGTCTCCTCCCCCAAGCCATGTCCCAGCCTTTCCACACGCTTTGAGCTTCTCTGCTTGGAACTCAGCCTGCGAGTCAAGACCCTGACCAACCATCTGAGTAGCATCAATGCTGACTATGAGCATATGTTCCAAGATGCTGTTGGCAAGAGCTCCCAGACAAGGATGCTGTCTATTATCCAAACTGTGCAGGGAATCATAGCAGGAAGTCAAGAGTCTGGACCCTTCCAGGAAGACCTTCTTGTGTCTCTAGAGAACATTCTCCTGCTCACTAAGGAGGTGGCCGAGAGGGTCCCTGAGCTCCAAGAACACCCAGAGGAGCAGGGGTTGCATATGCCGGACTGGCTTAGGTGGGAATGGGCAGCCAAGGTCCACCATGCAGTGACTCAGCTCCAGGCCTTGGAAGGTGATCCCACTGAGGCCTGGAGACTCCTGGTCCAATGCCTGAAACCCGGGGAAGAGCCAGCAAATGCCCCAGAAGAGGTCCTTGTCCAGCTCCAGCTGCAGTGTAAAGAATGTGCAGTAGAAACCTCTGCAGGGGGCAGTGTGGAGTTTCAGGATGCTGTTCCCAAAGGCACCACAGAAGTCTCAATGGGGACCTGTGCTGATGAGCTAGCCACCACCGGAACCACCACAGCAGACCTGAGCATGGTAGGCTACTTGGCATCTTTCATCTACCTACACCTGGACCTGTTTTCTAGTAACCAAAGACCCTCACACATTCCAGAAACTCAATGCCCACACCGCATGTATAATTCATACAAGGCAGGCAGCATGAGCAGTCTAGACTTGGGGTTCAGCTACCCTAGCCCGCAGCTACCTCTGTCATGTCCTTACCAAAATCAGAGAGAAGTCTCAGCACCATTTAGATGCCAGCATTCTAGTCCTCTGGAGGACTGCTGAATGAGTCCCTGCAAAAACATTTCCCTTCCTTAGCATCTAGTATGTGTCCTAGAACGAGTGCCTTCCCATCAGCCTTTTGGAGTTTTCCCTTATTACTTTAACAAACTTTCCTATGGCTGCCAGTACTCAGGCTGCTTCCTCCACTTTGACCTCTACAGATGTCACCTCCCTGCTCCAAAGTGACAGGAAAACAACTAGAATCATTGTAATGGGGAGTAAAGGGGTTTACTAGAAAGATACTAGGTCTGTCGAATGCCTCCCTTACATATCTGCTTCCTTCTAGGGCAGGACAGGACACTTAGGCATTAAAGATCTTAAAGACTGTATTTCTACTGACCATCACCAGAGTCAGTAGGCAATCGTACAGCTTAGCAGGACTCTAGTGGTTTCTACGCAGATATACTTCATCCAGTGTTGACCGCTCTAGAGGTGGGACCTGGGGGAGGAGAGCCTAAAAGTGAGGCAGACTAGAGTCTCATGCCATAGTCACCCTTATTCAGAGCCTCAGACAGTTTATACTCCGAGGGTTAAGAAAGGTCACATGGGGAAAGTTCTCGTGCGTTTGGGCTGTGTACAATCACAAGGGCAAGCCCCATGTGGCGAAACCTATTTTTCCACAGAAGCAGATGACCAGCAACAGCCAATTGTGATGGATCATCTACAGTAAACTCACCCCTGTCTGCTACACCCGGGAGGAGCACGGAAGCACATTCCAAAAACAACTCTGTGGTTTTGGGGAAGCCGAGGTCACAAGACTCCTGTTTTCTGGCATTCTCTCACAAGCACTCAGAATCCCCTTGCATGACTCCATTCTTGGACCGTGTTCTGACAATCCAGGATTTGATAGAGAAGTCACCTCATCTATCCCCACCGTGACCTTACGGATGGCTAAGCACAATCTCCCAAAACTCCATAGGGCTTTGCCCAGGAGAAAGCTGACCATGCCACCCCCATGCTGTTCTCTCATCAAAATGTCACTTCCACGCAAGGGGACTCCGTGACCCAACAGCTTTAGGCTCGTCTGCTCATCTCTCAGTCTCATAAATCCAAACAGCCTCCAGACTTCTCTCCCCTTCCCTGGCTCTCTGTAGCCATCAGCACACACTACTGACGCCACCCACTCACCGACTTGCCTCCGGTTTCTGTCAATGCATCAGAAGTGTCTCCCATAGCTGCAAGGCAGGGCGGCAGGGTAGGGAGACGCCGGGTAGCCAGCTTTCAGACTCTGGGTCTAGAGTCTCTATCACACAATCCTCGGCCCATGTTGAAAAGTTTGGAGTCCTATCTAGATTTGATTGCTGAAAGTCTCTGGTAGGTGCTAAAAAGGCCCTTTCCCAAGCTTCCTCACCATTTCAGTTGGGGTTTCTATTGCTGTGATAGTGATAAAACATCATGATCAAGTCAGTTTGAAAAAGCAAGGGTTTAATTGACATAACGGTTTCAGAGGCTTAAGGTCCATGACGGTGAGTTGAAGGTATGGTGACAGGAAGCTTGGAGAACATCCTGGGAATGGTGGGAGGCTGCTGGAACCGCAAAAGGGACACACCTAGTGATACGCCTCCTCCAAGATGGCCACACCTCCTCGCCCTTCTTCAAAAGTCCCACTAACTGGGACCAAATATTCAAACACATGAGTGAATGGGGGCCATGCTCATTCACCCAGCCACACCCACTCTTTGCTCCAGACCACCATGTCCATTCTCCGTGGTCTTCAGTCACTGCTGCTGAATTCCTGGTCAGTGAATTCTTCATCATTTCCTTCTTTTCAGCTCCTCCTGCCTTCCCAGCTCCCAGCAGGCTGACAGGTGAGCCTCGCTGGAAAAGGCCTCTGCCTTCCACTCCCAGCACATAGGGACATCCTGATCTAAAGTCAGGCCATTGCTGAAGCAGGTGACATCAGTCATTTTCAGAAGGATGCTTTAATTGAAAAGCAAGACAGAAACCCCAGCAAAGACAGGCGATTTACTAGTACTCGCTAGCTGAGGGTCCTAGCCCCCTCCACAGGGCTGCTACAGAGCACCACAGATGAGGTGACTTGTAGAGAAAAGAAAGTGAATTGGCTCCCAGTTCTGGAGTTTGGCGCCTATCTGAGGAGAAGAGACAACCAAGGATATCTTCAATGCTTTGTTATTGGGGTCACTTCCAGTGTAGGACAATTTGTCTTGATTCTGGCGTCAGAAAGACATAGGAAAGGCATCACTAAAGATCTGATAGAAAAACCACATCTAAAAAAGTCAGGTCCAGCCTACTTTTCAGATGTCGGGGCTGCTGTTTCCTTAGGAGGAAGCCAAAATCAAGTTTGTTTTTTTGTTTTTGTCTTTTTCTTTCTTTCTTTCTTTCTTTCTTTCTTTCTTTCTTTCTTTTTTTTTTTTTTTTAAAAAAACATTGTTATTTACTGTGAAGACCTTCGGAATAGGATGGGTGTGAGCGAGTTCAAGTTGAAACATCCAAGGATTCCTGAATCTCCTTTTTAGAAGATGAACATCCTTTATTCTTTGACAGTTTTACACAAGTGAATAATGTATCTTACCCGTCTCCATCCCCAACCATCACCTCCGATTTGACCCACAGGTCCCCTCTCCTACTCCCACTTCATCTCCTCCCCACCCCCTTTGGAGTTGTCTCAGACCTGTGGTCTCACTGTGTAATCCTGGCTAGACTAGAACTCTATGTAGGCCAGATTAGCTTTGAACTCACAGAGATCTGCCTGTCTTGGCTCCCAAGTGCTGGGATTGAAGATGAACACCACTATGTCCGGATCCCTATTTTTATTTATATGTATGAGGGTTTTGTTTATCTGTATTTCTGTGTACCACATGCATGCGGTGACCTAGGGCCCGAAAGGGGCATCAGATTCCCTGGAAGGAAATTACAGATGGTTCTGAACTACCAAATGTGTGCTAGGATTTGAACCTGGGTCCCCTTGAAGAAAAGCCAATGCTCTTAACTGCTGAGCCTTCTCTCCAGCCCCTCCTCCTAACAAAACAAAAACAAAAACAAAAACCAGGGACTGGAGAGATGGGTCAGCGGTTAAGAGCGCTGACTGCTCTTCCAGAGAACCAGGGTTCAATTCCCAGCAACCACATGGCAGCTTACAACAGTCTGCAACTCCAGTTCCAGGAGATCTGACACCATCATACAGAATATAGAAACAGGCAAAACACAAGTGTATATTAAACAAATAGATTTAAAAAAACAAAACAAAACAAAACAAGCAATCAAAAACCAAAACCGAAACCAAACAAACACACAAAACTGAATCCCATCAGTGCTGCCTGCTGGAAAGCTAACTGTTCGTGTTGGCTTGATTTTGTACAGGTAATCATAACTGTGGTGGATCCATGAGCGCAGTGGCCGTACTGTGTCCAGAAGGCAACCTTGATAGCTCCTCATCCTTCAGTTCTTTTTTTTTTAAATATTTATTTATTTATTATGTATACAATATTCTGTCTGTGTGTATGTCTGCAGGCCAGAAGAGGGTGCCAGACCTCACTACAGATGATTGTGAGCCACCATGTGGTTGCTGGGAATTGAACTCAGGACCTTTGGAAGAGCAGGCAGTGCTCTTAACCACTGAGCCATCTCTCCAGCCCCCTCATCCTTCAGTTCTTATAGTCTGCTCTTCCTCAGTGTTCCTAGGCCTCGGTGGGGTGTCAGTTCAGATGTCTCACTTAGGGCTGAACACTCACCTGTCACTAATTCTCAGCACGTTGACTAGTTAACGAGTCAGGCATGGTAACTGCGGAGAGTGGCTTCCCTGGCCAAGGCTGAGAAAGACTAATTCATTTCTTCCTGGGCTGTCAGCAGCCCTAAGTTCTCTTCAGGAGGCTACATGTTCTTTCTTCTCCCTCGTAAGCCTGAACACTCATAGGAATGAAATACACTATGCTGCCTAGATTGAGATTCAAGGACGCCATGTTTCAGTCAGAGTACACACTCACAGGGGATCATGTCTCTCCTTGTTGCTTCCCTACAGTACAAATAGAAGATTGCCCAGGGCTTTGAGGACTCAGGAAATCCGCCTGATTCCCTTGTGCCTTCTTTAAAATTATTTAAAATGTAATTGAGGGGACGGGGTGAGGGGGAGTGCTCAGTTGATAAAGCACTTACTGCTTGTGGTGGTGTGAAAGAAAATGGCCCCCAGAGGGAGGGGCACCATTAGGAGGTGTGGCTTTGTTGAAGTAGGTGTGGCCTTGTTGGTGGGAGTGTGTCACTATGGAGGCAGGCTTTGAGGTCTCATACATGTTCAAGCCACGCCCAGTATCTCAGACCACATCCTGTTGCTTGCACAAGATGTAGAAAGCTGAGCTACCTCTCCAGCACCATGCCTGCCAGCACACTATAATATTCCCAGCCACCGTGCTCCCAACCACGATGACAAAGGACTAACCGAACCCCTGAAACCGTAAGCCACCACCTCAGTTAAATGTTTTCCTTTAAAAGAGTTACCGTGGTCACGGTGTCTCTTCACAGCAATAGAAACTCTAGCTTAGACACTGCACAAGTGTGAGGACTTAAACTCTAGTCCCAGGTTAAAAATTTAGGTACACTGTCGTGTTACACACTTGTAATCCCAGCACGGTGGGGAGGGGGGAGAAGGCAGAAGTGGGCAAATCCCTGGTCCAGTCCAAAGGTAGAGTCCGCCTCAAAAAGCAACGTGGACATCTCCTAAGTAACACTGGCCTCCACATGTGTATGGACACACACCACACACACACACACACACACACACACACACACAGAGAGAGAGAGAGAGAGAGAGAGAGAGAGAGAGAGAGAGAGAGAGAAAAGCATCCTCACTGCAGCTCAGCAGCTCGAATGTCAGAAACTGTGTTGTTCCAACCCTCTGACCATCTTCTTTCAGCACCAGCGCGGCAGCCCCTCTCTGCCTCCTGCTCAGATGGACCAGATTGTTCCAGAGGATGGCGGTGCAGACAGCGAGAACAGAATCACCCAGATCACACAAGAGATGGCCAAAGAGGTGCTCCTGATGGCTCAGAGCCTGAGGAAGAGAGGGCGCGTTCTGGTACTTGATCTTCAGCAGGTCATGGTGGTGGGTGATTGGGTGCCACGTGGGGAAGTGGTGTCTTGGCATTCCTAGACAGTGCTGGAAGGAAGGGTCACACTGAAAATCCTGTCAGTACCCCATCTCTGTAAAATCCACCTCACTTCTCTCCTCCCCTCCTCTTTCTGGCTTGGCTACTGTGGTTATTATCAATTATATCAGGGAAGATAATTTTGCCAAATCTTCAATGCAGTAAAATTAGTAAAAAATCAAGGAGCTATTCATTTCCCAGAACAGTGAGTCAAGAGTGTTATTTATACCTTTTAAATTTTCCTTTTTTTTTTTTTTTTTTTTTTTTTGGTTTTTCGAGACAGGGTTTCTCTGTAACTTTGGAGTCTGTCCTGGAACTTGCTCTTGTAGACTAGGCTGGCCTCGAACTCACAGAGATCCGCCTGCCTCTGCCTCTTGAGTGCTGGGATTAAAGATGTGCACCACCACCACCCAGGATAAATTTTACTTTTAAGTGTCATTATTCCCCTATGTGTGCATGACCCAGGGAGGGGTAGACGGGCCATGGCATGCCTATGGAGGTCAGAGGACAGCTTTGTGGCATCAATGCCTTCTGTTTTTGTGGGTTTCAAGCTCAGAGTACAAAGCATTTGCAAGTGCCCTTTCCCCAGAGCCACTTCAGCAGCCCGTTATTTCCATCTGGAACACTGTCTCCCCCTCAGGATGACAGAGAGGGCTGAGTTCTCTTGAAAGCTAGTCCATTATGGCTGGCATCCCTGGAGGGGAAGAGCCTTTCCCCACTAGCTTCTAGAAGCTGACTTCCACCGTGAGCCTATCCCCACTCTGTAACCCTCTTCTTCCAGCATGGGTCTACCAGGTACAGATGGCTCCAAGGGATCTGACTTTCCTATCCTGGGGCAGGACAGAGGGTTCAGGAGAAAAGGGAAGGACACCCCAGAGCCTCCATTACACCAAGACTCAGATCTTCCATTGTTGGGTCCCTCCTCCCAGCCAGTCGAAATCTGGCTAAATCAGAGACCCCCAAGGCCACCAAAAGAGATGTGGCTTTCCAGGATGTATTTTCAAATCCGGTTGTTCTGATTTAAATAGGACGCAGGTGTCTGTAGGGATGTGTGGCTAAGAATCTAGGAACTTGCATGCCCCGAATCCCTTGTGTTTATGGAGAGATGTACAATCCAAGGACCATTTTAAGAGTGGGGTTTGCTTCTGGTAGGACGTGGCTATGCAGAATTCACCCGAGTTCCCCAATCTCACATCCTGATCGTAATACCAATCTCTCTCTCTCTTTTTTAAATAATTGAAGTATTGTGCTCTTGAGTGAAACAAAAAATAAGACAGAAAATATCTAATTAGGGCTGGGGTTATTTGGTAGAGCTCGTTTGGTAGAACACTTACCTAGCATGCACAAGGCCATGATTCAACCCCAAGCACCACATAAGCCAAGCACAGTGGTACACGCTGGCTATTCCAGTACTCTCAAGTCAGAAGTCCAAAGCTATCGTCAGCTATATCAGGAGTTCGAGGTCAGCCTGGGATATGTGAGCCTAGGAGTCTGGGTCCTGGTCTTCTGCTGCCCCCACACAGGAAGAAGATTGTTCCTCGTTCAGTCAGGTTCTTTCTAATGCAAGAGAAAGCCCTTAGAGTTGACTCAGGAGATGGTGGTTTAGGCTCAAACACACTCCTTTCCAGGGGCAGAAGGAGCTGAGCCAAGAAAGCTGAGGGCAAGCATTTGATTTGTCACTGATGTTTCGGGGGAAACCTGGGCAGGCAGTGTTTGCCTACTTCCCACACTTCCTTCTCTGATATAGACCAAAGATCAGCTCATTGCCTCAGGCAGAAACATCTCAGCTTCCGGAAAAAACATCGCCAGACTCATTCACATCATGGCGAAGAACTGCATAGATCTCAGATGCTCCCGCGAGCTCCTGTGTCTGGGGGAGCAGATTCAAACCATGAGCAGCCAGCTCAGCATCATCTCCAGGTAGGAAGCAGCTCGCCAGAGCATGGCTAAGTTTTGTGAGGCCCAGTGGGGATGGAGGGTGAGTTATTTGTATATGTTTAGTGACTTACCCTTCTAGAGTTTACACTGGTTCCCTCCCCCATGCAGAACACAGGCCCTTACTCTATGGCATGGCTGAGCTCACAACACTTCAGGGGTAGTTAGCCTTTGGCACAAGTGACTGACATCCTTTCTTTGTAACCACGTGGAAATTTTGACAATTAGTCCTCTGTTTTTATGTTAATCGTATCTAATGAAAAAGCCAACTATCTTTAAAAACGTGGTACACAGTGACATTTTGGACAGCGGAAGACTGCATATGTGATGCTGGTTTCATAGGTTAATCATGTGATAACAGCACAGCCATCTTAGTTTGTGGAAGTACACCCTGTGATAGTCACACCAAGAGGAAATCACCCAACAACATAGTTCTCAGATGGATGCCTGTCACTGACTCCTGACTGTATGTCAGTAACAAGTGATTGGCTTGGGCATGGGGGTACACACCTGTAACCTCAGCATTTGGAAGGTAGAGGCAGGAAGGCCAGGAGTTCAAGGTCTGCCTTGGCTCCATAGTGAGCTCAAGTCTAGTTAAAGCTACAAAAAACCCTATTTCAATAAACAAGCGAATACGGTGAGTGAAAACAGAAAAGCTATCAGTACGGGGCACGTGGTAAGGCTAACACCTATAAACTGGGAATGACAGTGTGCACCTATAATCCTAGCATTCAGAAGGAAAAGGCAGATGCTCACGGCCATCCTTGGCTACAGAGTGAGGTTGAAGTCAGCTTGGGCTACATGAGACCCTGTCTCACACAGCACCCCCCAAAAAGAAAAAGCCATTTAATATGCCTCAATTCTGGAGCTGAGTCAATTTTATTAATTGTCTCCCTATTACAGCTTTCCTGTTGATATAAATTACACAGCATAACAGAATTATAACACTTTTATTTTGACCTGAGACCATTAGAACCTGCAGTGACACACTAAGAAACTCCCAGTGGTAACAGTCTTCTCTATGGAAAGGCTGGACTGTTAAACCTACTGTCAATTGTGAGTGAAATGTCTCGGATGTGGGAGAGGGCAGCAAGGCAGACATGGTTCCTTGAGCTTGCAAGATTTATTTAATGCTATGGACAGACGGACAGCAGCAGGGAAAGGTCACATAGCAGGAAGGGGGAGTCTCTTCTTGCACCTTTCTGAAGGGGAGGGAGGTTTAACAGCATAATTCTGCAGCCAGGCTGATTCTCAGGCAGGGACAGGGAAGGGAGTTCAGAGCAGGGTATGTGGTGCCAATGCCCACTTCTGATGTAAGCTCACTACTTCCTCAGTGCGTGACCCTAGGTCCGACCACCAGGACGTTGTCTGGTAGCCAGGGACTCATGCAGCAGCTAAACTCTTACATTACATTCCCATGGTGAGAAAGAAAAATGACATTGCTCAAGCTAGAGTGTTTTTACGTGTATTTATTTATTCGTTTATTTAGTGTACATGCATGCACGTCCATGCCAGAGAACATAGGGAAATCAGAACAACTTGTAGGATGGCCCCATGGTTAAGAGCACTGGCTCCTCTTTAGAGAACAGAGGTTTGATTCCCAGCACCCACATGATGGTGCACAACTGTTAACTCCATTTCCTGGTGATTGGCGTCTTCTTCTGGCCTTCATGGACACCAGGTACACACAAGGTACATGTGTATACATACAGGCAAGACACTCACACATACGAAAATAAATCTTTAAAAAATAATAATAAAACTTGGCAACTGCTCTCTAGGAAATACATTTCAGACGCACAATCATCTCATGTGAACGGAGACGGTGTCTTTGTTTTCCAGACACCCGAATAATCACACAGAAACTGTATTAATTACAACACTGTTTGGTTGTTGACTCAGTTGTATTTATAGCTAGCTCTTACATCTTAAATTAACCCATTTCTCTGTATTACCATGTGGCTATGGCAGTACTTCATTTTCTACACATCTTGTTTCCTCAGTGGCTGGCTGGCATCTTTCCCCTTTGTCAGCTGCATAGCACTCAAGATTAGCTGCCAATATTTTTTCTACATAAGACATAAATATAAAAATGACCACCACAAACAAATCAGTTTTATCATCAAAATGAGACCACCTCCATAGACACAAGGCACATGGTGCCAAGCAGGGGGAACTACACAAAAAAACTTCCCTGTGTCACCCGGCAGGAAGTGCTAGGGGGAAACAGGCAAAGCATTCACTGGGTTCTCGCCGGAAGGAATGGGCAAGGCCAAATGAGCAGGCAAAGCGTGTGTAGGACTGATTATTTTGGATTTGGAAGCTGTGTTTGCAGGTAAGTCATTTGCTCTTTCTGGGAACTGGTGAGCCCTAGAAGAGGCAGTTCCCCCAACATCAGCCTGCATACAGTCCTGTGCATGGTTTATTCTCTTTCACGCTTTGATGGCAGCTGGCATCTGTTTCGTTGCCTCTACCCAGTTATTTCCATGAACAACATACTCTTCTTTGTCATTATAGGTGCTATATGACACACATTTTCTTGGCATTAAAGCAAAAGTTTTCACTGAAAAATGCTAACCTAAGCTCTTAGAGTAGTCTTCCCCTGGGACTATGGAGACAAATCCTGCGTGAGGAGGACTTGAGTTTGATTCCCGTCTACAGACTGGGTGTGGCGGTATGTAGGTCTAACCCCAGGGCTGAGGAGGTGAAGACAGGGGGTTCTCCAGGGTTTGCTGCTATAGCCAAACCCGTTAGCTCCTGGCTTGGCGAGAGACGGTGTCTCAATAACAAAAATGGGGGTAGGGGACGACAATTGAGGAAAACATTTTACATTGCTCTCTGTCGTGCGCGCGCGTGCACACACACACACACACACACACACACACACACACACACACCCTTTCCCTGAATATTCCCACCAAAGTGTCTCAACTTTCTGTATGG